GGGCAGGGGCTGGTCATGCCTATATAGGTCACTCCAGAGTGGGAGCTGGTCACTCCAGAAAGACCAACAATGAGGCTTTGGTAGCTTTGAGTCAAGGTCAATTGATCTGAAGGCTGAGATTAACCACACAGTCAGGCGGTGAATCGACAATGCCTATCAGATGAAGTCCCAATAAAAACTCTGTGAATGAAACTCGGTAAGCCTCCTGAGTTTCGCCATGAAACTCACAGTGAGAGTCCACGAGTCTTGTCATACATCAGTGCTGGGAGGGTGACCAGTACTAACTGCAGGGGAAAAGACCAAGGGAATTTCTGTTTTATTTTTTGGTACCAGGGATTGAACCCAGAGGCTCCTAACCACGGAGCCACATCCCCAAGCCCATTTTATTTTTAATTTTTTCTTTCATCTTTTTTCTTTTTAATTTTTTAAATTGTCATTGGACCTTTATTTATTTTTATGTGGTGCTAAGAATCGAACCCATGCTTCACACATGCTAGGCAAGTGCTCTACAGCTGAGTCACAACCCCAGCCCTTATTATTATTATTTTTTTTTTGACACAGAGTCTTGCCAAGTGGCTTAGGACCTCACTAAGTTGCTGAGGCTGGCTTTGAACACATGATCCTCCTGTCTCAGCCTCCCGAGTTGCTGGGATTACAAGTTTGTGCCAACTCGCCTGGCCCTATGTGCTTCTTTTGACTGATTTTACTCTGTATTTTCCTTGCAATAAACCATAATTGTATAATAGTTTTCTGTGGGTCCTTTAAGTGAATTAGTGAGAGTGGTTTTGGGAGTCCTCTAAACGTGAAGCTGGTATTAGAAGTGAGGGTGGTCTTGGGGACAGTGCCTTCTAACTCTTGGCTTTAAATTCTCATAGACATTGATGCCTGGCACTCACCCTCAGAAACATGGTTTAATGGACATGCGGGAGTTTGAAAAGCCACCTGGGTGATGTGCAGAAAAATTTGGAACCCACTGATTCTTTCTTATTTATCTATCTATCTATCTATTTATTTATTTATTTTTGTGGTACTGGGGGGTGAGTGCTCTACCACTGAGTTACATCCTAACCCTATTTTGAGATAGGGTCTTGCCAAGCTGCTGAGGCTGGTGCTGAGATCCTCCTGCCTCAGCCTCCTGAGTCGCTGGGATTACAGGTGAGCACCCTGCTTCATTCTTTACAGTCAAATGATGTACCTGATCATAAGAGACAGGTCTCACAATTTGACAAACAGTAATTAAATAAAAAATAAAATTTATTGGAAACGTATCTCTTAGATAAGTTTCAGGTAGGGGTTATGTTGCCTTGACTATAAGTGAAATTGCTAAGACCCCAAATTCCAAAGTCAGCTGGCCTGGATCCCCATGAGTCTTTCCATCTGGGGACCACCAACGACAGTGAGGACTTTTTTTTCCCCTTGTAAAGCTGAAGAAGGGGAACTGAGGAAGAGAGAGGGGAAAAACAACCATGATCTTTCCACCACAGACAGGATCTGCAGCAGATGAATTTCAGAATAGGCGACATACAGCCGTAGAGACTATGGGGTTTGGCTTCCTTAGAATCACCTGAGTCATGTACCCCCCGGGAACCTTCATGTACTCCTGTTTCAACAAGACTGAGCTGGGCCCAAGGCCCAGTACTGGATCCAATCGGATGTTTTCCAATCCAGACCCCTTTGGAGAGGAGGAAAGGGCTCCAGGGTGGGATCGCCTCTTCCTCCCTGACCTGCAGTTCCTTTATCTGTAAGGGGTGGTTAGGAGCCCACATTGAGCTGCCCATCAAAGGCCAAGCCACAGGCCGCCAGTCTTAGACAGGGGCTGCTTGTTACCACACTCACCAGTCAGAGACACAGATCTCAATCCTGCCACTGTCCAGCAGTTCTGGCCACAGACCCTCCTCCTCCAGGTCCAAGACCTGCTTCTTGCGGCACCAACTAGGAATGTGGGAGAAGGGGTCCATGAGAACGAGCAGATCTTTCTCCTCCCCCACCTCCCAGTCCTTGGAGAGTAGGGGCTTTCACCGGAAGGAAGTTACGAAACAGGTTTGTGAAGGGGCCCCCGGCACAGTTCTCCTGTTTTCTTCCACCACCCAGCCATCTCCACCGTGCTGCACCATCCATTTCCGGAGGCCTTCTGTTAAATAAAAGGATGGTAAGCCTAGCTACTGGAGGCTGACAAAGGAGGACTGCAAGTTTGAGACCAGCCTGGGCAATATAACGAGACCGTCCCAAATTAAAAAAATTAAAAGGGCTGGGGATGCAGTTTAGTGAAGATGGAATCCCCAGTACCGGAAAAACAAACAAACAAACAAACAAAGCCTCCCAAACC